CCTTGGAGAAGGACATCATGCTTGGGAGGGTAGAGGGCAGGCGCAGGAGGGGAAGGCCCTCTGGGAGGTGGATTGATTCGGTGACTAGGGCAATTGGGATGAGTGTGTCAGAGACAATGAGATTGGCACAGGACAGAGCAGAGTTTAGAGCGGTTGTACATAGGGTCGCTATGAGTCACAAGCGACTCGACAGCACATCACAACAACATGTGTACACATGCCTGTGTGTATCTCTGTCCACATATGCATATACCTGTAAAAACCTGTGTGCACGGGTGTGTACATGTGCCCTTGTGTACCCATGTGCATGTGTAGATATGCCTACATGTGCCTATATGTGTGTACGTATGCCTGCGTGTTATCTCTGTCCACACATGCATGTACCTGTAAAAACCCATTTGCACAGGTTTGTACATGTGCCCATGTGTACCCGTGTGTGTGTACATATGCCTGTTATCTCTGTCCACATGTACATATACCTATGAATACCCGTGTGCATAGGTGTGTACATGTGCCCGTGTGTGTACATATGCCTGCATGTATCTCTGTCCACACATGCATATACCTGTAAAAATCTGTGTGCACGGGTGTGTACATTTCCCCATGTGTACCTGTGTGTGTGCACATGCCTACGTGTGCACATGTGTGTACATATGCCTGCATGTGCCCACATGTGTGTACATATTCTGTCCATATATGCATATATCTGTGAATACCCATGTGCATGTGTACATATTCCCTGTATGTACCATGTGTGTGCACATATGCCTGTGTGTATCTCTGTCCACATGTGCATATATCTGTGAATACCTGTGTGCACCAGTGTGTACATGTACTACCTATGTGTGCCCATGTGCATGTGTGCATATGCCTACATATGCCACTGTGTGCACATATGCCTGCGTGTATGCTTGTGCTTTGTGTACATGTGCCTGCCTGCACGCAAACGCTCATGCACACGTGTGTACATATGCCTTTGTGCACACGAGAGTGCGTACATGTCTACATATTCCTGCAGACACGGGCTCTTGGAGGGGCACTTACCTGCTCAGGCCCTTCATCTTCAGGTACTCCATTACAAAGGCGGCCCCGCCTCCTGGCAGGTCGATCACCTTCACTGGCTGAGGCACCCGCACCAGGCCTGTACCCCGGAGGGCCTCCAAGCTGGCCATCTCGCCCTCAAACATTTGCCGGGCCTGCATCAGACACCTATGTCAGCCCTGGATCGCTGGCCTGAGGGGGTAGCAAAACTTACAAGACCTCAGGACTTCTCATTACTGGAGCTGATCTAGTGGGAGGACGGTGCAGCCCGAAGGGAGTGGGATGCAAAGTGGTCCCTCAAACAAGAAAAGGTTGCAGGAAGGAGGTTCAGCCTGAGTGCCAGGGTAGGACACACAGTGCACCCCGCTGTAGAGGTTAGGGTGCGAGGAAGGTGGAAGAGCTGTGGGACAGTGGGTGCCAGGAGGGTGTGGTGGGAAGAGCTATGAAAATGTGGGGTACAAGGATGGTAAGGTAGGGGGAACAGTGAGAGGTGGGGCATGAGAGTCTCAGAGTGATGGTGGAACTCAGGGGTGAGGAGGCTTGGAGTAATCATGGGGCATGGGGGAGCCCAAAGTGACACTGGGGTGTTCATAGTGACTATCGGGCTGAGGGAGTCTCACACTGAGTTGAAAGGGACTTAGAGTGATAATCTGGCATGGAGGGTACTTAGAGTGGACATGGGTTGTGAGAAGTGACCCTTGGGCTGAGGGCTTGGAGTGACCATGGGGCATGAGAGGACTGGAGTAACTGTGGGGCTGACAGGAGCTTGGAGTGAATGTGGGGTGTGAGGGGGGCTCAGAGTGCCTGTGGGAACATAAGAGGACTGGAATGACAATGGGGCATGAGGAGGGCTCAAGGTGACCATGGGGCATGAGGGGTCTCAGTGTGACCGTGGGGCACGGGAATGTTCAGAGTTTGACAGCTGCAGAAGGAAAATAAGATTCAATTCACAGTAGGTGGGGTTTTTGTGGAAAGCACCAAGCCCACAGCAAGTGGGAATTGGAGGACATCAGGCCCACCACAGGTTGGAAATTTGGGGAGTTCCAGGTCCAAACATGTAGGAATTGGGGGCCCTCTGTCACATGGAAGAATCTGGCCAGCAACTGGGTCTCCAGGTCCCTCTCTAAGCCCCTCCTCCAGGCCCCTTTGGACTCCCTCCATCCTTGTGGGAGTTCCCAACCTGTAGCACTGAGGGGTCCACAAAGCAGATGTCCCCAGCTGCCCAGGAGTCTCCAAACTTCAGCCCCTGCCTCACACAGGCCTTTTGAGGCGAGGGGGCCAGCATAAACGGCCAGAAGAATGCTGTGTGGAGGTAGTGAACGCAGGCCTAACAGCTGGCCAGCGGAGGATTCCAGCTCCCGGGTAGGGGTCGGGGTAATGCCTCTCCCTCACCTTCCACCTGCTGGGGGCTGGGGCCAGGGCCGGAACTGCAGCTCTGGAGCCTAATCCCTCCGTAAAGCCCCAAAGCCACTGGGCCTCCAGCCAGTGCTGACACTGCAGAGGACAGCGTCCCCAGGCCTACCCGGGTAGTGACGACGGTGGCCAGGCTGCCAGCCCCATCTCGCACGCAGCCCCCCGCTCTGGCTCGCACCTGGGATCTGCGGTTGACCTTGACGAAGACCGGGCCCGCGTCTGTGTCATAGGCTCGGCCCTCGCTGATGCCTCCAGCCCCTGGGCTCCCGAAGGCGCGCAGGGTCCGAGTCCGCAGCTCAGCGCGCAGCAGCTGCTCCATGGAGACTGATGGAGACTGGAGCGCGGGGGCCCTCCCCGGGGTGCGGGGAATAGGCGAGGCCTGGGGAGAAGGGGCCCTGAGCAGGGCTAGGAACTGAGGCTCCTCGGGCTGAGAGTACTAGCGGAACCAGGCAGGGGCTGGAGGGAAGGGGCTCCAGGCCGAGGCAGTGGCAGGGACAGACTGAGGCAGGGAGGGCCAGGAGCAGGACCTGAAGGAAGGGGGTGTCAGGGATGGGCAGGTGGGGCAGGCCTAGAGACGTGGGGCTGTCCAGCAGCAGCACTCGCAGGCGGCTGAGGGCGGGCTCTGCGGTCACTGGTCTGCGGGAGGGGTGTGAGGAGGAGGAACCCGAGAAACAGCCGCGCCCACACCCTACGCGGGGCACTGTCTGGCAATGTCTCCAGCCTCGCCCTGCACAAGGTGTCTTTGTTGGGCGCGGCCCCGCACAGGGACTTGGGTGCAGAAGGTCCTCTCCACGCAGTGTCCTGCAGAACCACTGTATGCACCTTCTCTGTGGAATGGGCTGCAGGGTGCCTGGAGATGCAGGTCATGGCGCACTCAGGTTCTCCTAGCCTCACTACAGACCAGCCAGAGCACACACACTGCAGCCCTGTGATGCATGGTCTGAGCGACCCAGCCTGTCCACGTGGAGGCCAGAGGCTGGGCACACTGGAGTTCTGATGGGGGTCAGCCTCCTGTCCTAACACTTAAGGGATGCTGAGGGAGGGGTGTGCGCACACATGGACACGTGTGTAAGGTCATACATACACGTGTCAATCTCCATCTACACCGAGGTAATTTAAGGGGACTTTTTACCTTTGTTCTCCCAAGTCTCTGGCAAGACCAAGTCGGGGCAGGAGGCACCCTCCCATCCCAGAACCAGAGTTTATCTGGTTCTTCACAAAAGCAAAAAGCCCTGCAAGGGCGGTGGTCACACCTACTAAAGCTGTGGCCCATAGGAGCTGCCCTGCCAACCTAACCTCAAGGAACTCAGTTCAAATTCCCAGTTGGCTCATGGTGAAAAAGATGGGCAATCTTCTCCCGTGTGATTCACAGCCTCTGAAAGCCATCTGGAAGGTCAGCTCTGTGGGTTCTAACTCCATGGCAGTGCCCTATAAAGATAGACATCTCCCCTTATCCAGAGGTCCCATCTCTCTGGGGAGTGGAACCAATCAAGAGGCTTGGAGGGAGAAAGCTAGGGACCTCCTCCCTGGTGACTGACAGCCTCCACTGTGAGTAGCTGGACTTTGAGCCTCACCTTGAGGGGCTCTGGTGGTGCAGTGCTTGGTCTTATGGCTGTGAAGTTTGGGAGTCCCCAGGCTATCAGCCTCTCTACCTACAAGAGGGATGGGCTGTCTCCTGCAAAGGCAGGTCCTGAATGAGTCAAGACGGCTTTGAGGGCAGTGAGCTTGATGGAGATGGGCTGTTGTCTTAAACCCCACATTATTAGGAGGGGCAGTCCCTGGAGAAGGACCTCAGTTGGTAGAGGGTCAGCAAAAAGGAGGAAGACCCTCAACAAGATTGACTGACAGAGACTGCAACAGTGGGCCAAAACGGGGGGCTGGTGGTGATGGTGCAGGTGGCACCTCCTCCTGTGGGACACAGGGCGCTGTGAGCTGGAGTCAACATGACAGCATCTATGACACAAGCTGTCAACAATTTCACTTTATTTGGAGCCACAATTAACACTCGTGTTAACAGCAGTCAAGAAATCCAGTCATGTTGCATTGAGAGAAGCTGCTGTTAAGGGCCTCTCCAAAGTGCGAGACCAAGGATGTCAGTTTGAAAACTAAGGTGTGCCCGATCCAAGTAATGGTATTTTCAGTTGCTGTCTATGCATCTGAAAGGTGGACACTGGGTAAAGAAGACTGAAGACACTCAATGCCTGTGAGCAGTGGTGTTGGAGAAGAGTGTGGACTATCCCATGGCCTTTCCGGGATCTTTTTTTTTAATTTTTTGTGCGTGTACCATCAAGTCGGATCCGACTGGTACAGGTGGTGATTTGCCCTCCTTTTTCCAGCAGAGCATTTGGTGGATTAACACTGCATACTTCTGGGATTGCAGTGCAGCTTCTTGCCACTGGGCCACCAGAGCCCCCTAATTTCTATAGTTTGTTACTAGCAAAGTTTCTCTGACCATGTTGTTAGGTGCAAGGTGTTTGGTCTGTTAGGTGGTAGTGTTGGTGTCGGGTACAACTCACAGCAACCCTGAGCCACACATCTGAAGCTGCCCTATCCTGTGCCATCTTCGTACTTCCTATGTGACCATGTAAACAGAGCCAAAAGAACAAACGTCATGGAGCAAGTGCAACCAGAGTGCTCCTTAGAGGCAAGGATGGTGAAACGTGTTCTCACATCTCTGAGCATGCTGTCAGGAGGGTCTAGTTCTTGGAAAAAGACACCATGCTGAGAAAGGTGGAGGGTCAGGGAAAGGAAGGAAGACCTCAACAAGATGGGTTGGCAGTGACTTAACAGGCTCAATACTACACTGCACTGAAAAACAAGGAACTCAAAAAAAAAAGAAAAAAGAAAAACAAGGAACTCATGTAATATTATTCAAAATGGGTGACCCTGGAGAACATTATGCTGAGTGAAGTATCTCAGTCACAAAAGGACAAATACTGCATGGTGCCACCGTTGTGAAACAGGACTGATCTTGGGACTGGGGAGAGACTGAGAGAGATGGGTTCAATAATGTACACTGCATTGAAAGAGATGAGGGAGAAAACTGTTTCAAAGGAATATGTGATTAGGTATTATTGTCTTGACAGGAGTCCAGAGCAAAGGCTCCAACAGTGGAGTGTACCTGGGGGGAGGGATTATAAAACAATGAAAGAATTTTTCTTTTACTTTTCCAAGAGGGTAGTGTACTAGGGAGGAGGGTTAGGAGGGGAGAAAAAGGCAACAGTGAATGAATGGAAATCCAAAGTCTCTGTAAATTTTCATTGAAATTAATAATAAATTTTAAAAAAGAAAAAAATTTTAAATGAAAAAGCTTATTACCTCAAAAACCCAATGCAGGGCTGCCAGGAGATAGCCAGACTTGGTGGCAACGGCTGGTTTGGTTTCCTTTAAGCCTTGCAGCCTCCATCCAAGGTCCACTGATCCTCCACCCTCCAGGTGGGGAAAATGAGGCACAGAGCACAATCTGCTCAAGGTCACAGTGATGGAGGCAGAAATCTCCTGGTGACTTCAAGCCCATTACTCTTGGAGAGAGGTCCCAGAGGCTGGCACCAAAAGTGGGGCCCCAGGCAAGGTCAGGTCTCCACATTCCACACAACCCCTGGCCTTTGTCTCTTGTCCCCCCCAAATACACCACCTGAGCCAAGCCTGCACCACTCTTCGGAGGCCGATCAAGGTAGAAGCATTTTGCTAAGACAGGAGGGCACTCCTTTTCCTATGGCACCTTGAGGTCCCCTCTGAGACAGAACTCACATATTTCCTGGGTGCCGGTCAACCTAAAGTGCTGCCAGCCTACTCACACCACGGCGGGAATCTTCTGGCCAGTGCATCACTCATGTCAGGGCTGAGCAAGAAGCTCAGCACAGTAGCCACTTTCACGCAGGACATGTCTTCACCCTTTGCTTGAGGCCAGAGCTCCTCAAAAAGGCATAGAGTACACTTCAGAGACACCCCAAAAGTGAGCACAGGGTTCACCAGAGGCCAGCTCTGACCAGGACTCACACATCGTGATGTCCTGAGTGTCCCTGGCTCCAGGCAACCATCCTTCAAGGCCCCCATGTAAGGGGCTAGGTTCTGACTGCAGTGTAAGAGATAAATTGGGACAGCCAGGAGCCAGGGAGGTGTCCCCAGGGTTTCCGTGAACAGGTGCTGGGCTGGGGTGGGACTGCCAGACTCTACAGAGAAAATCCAATGGCCCTGTATGTGATACATTATCAAAACACACTTAACAGAAATTAGTCATTATCAACACACTGTAACACAGAAATACATTATCAACACATACAGTAACAGAAATACATTAACAGATACTATACCAGACACATTATCAACACTGTAACAGACAAAAATAGATCAGGAGGTGCATGCATTAGATGCCATGACCAGTATTATATATAACATTTTATATGTATTTTAGTATAGAATATATTTTAACAAAAATTTCATTTAATATGTAACTACGCTTCATATTTTTTCATTAAATTTTCTATTTGTTTTATATTTTGACTTATGCTACCTTTTTATTTGAACTTTCAAATGCTTTTATTCATTAAATTTGTATTTTAAGTTCACAATGTTTTATATTCTATTTCCTTTTCTAACACATCTTTTTGCCACTTCATTTTTTATTTAACTTTGTGCTAATTATGTACCATGATGTTGGGATTTACTTGGAGCCCCCGTTGAGGGGGTTCTCTGAAGCAGTGACCCTGCACAGGAAATCACGCATCTTCCCCCGGGGCAGCTGTAGGTGTGAACTGTGTGCTTTGGGGCTGGCAGCACCACTGTAGTTTTATCCATAGGAATGTAAATTAATTGGTTTTTCGCTCATATAACTTCTAGCAGTTGTTGTTTGGTACCATCCAGCCAACAAATCATGACCAAGGAATTATATTGTTATGTGCTGTCAAGTTGCCTGCGACTCATATAGCCCTAAACTCTGCCCTATCCTGTGCCAAACTCACCATCTCCGACAGACCTGCCCCCACCACCCCAGTCACTGAGTCAATCCACCTCATCAAGGGTCTCCCTCTCCTACGCTGTCCCTCCATCCTCCCAAGCATGATGTCCCTCTCCAAGGACTGGTGCCTCCTTACAACATGTCCAAAGTATGTCAGACGAAGCTTCAGAATCCTTGCCTCCAATGAGCAGCCTGGTTTAACCCTCACCAGGATGAACCTATTTATTTCCTTAGCAGTCCATGGTATATTCAATACTGTTCTCCAACACCACAGCTCAAAGGCATCAATTCGCCTATCATCCCTAGTCATTGTCCACCTCTCTGATGCATGCAAGTGACTGCAAAGACCATGGCATGTATCA